GCGAGTCTGGGCGGCCTGCGGCGCCCCCCAGTGGCGGCAGTAGCAGCTTGTTGAGGTGCGTGGAGACCCACAGCCAGCGGCACCTCCTCCCCGGGAGTGCGCGGGGGCCCCGGCAGGTGCGGGGTGCCGGGGCTCGCGTCAGATGCCCGCCTTGTCGCTGTAGAAGGGCGTGACGTGGAACACGTAGCAGTGCGTGCACACGCGGACGGGCTTCACCTGCCCGTAGCGCGGCAGCGGCGCCGAGTGCGCGGAGCAGCGGGAGCAGAAGATCTGCAGAGCGAGGGGCGGGCCGTGGGGCAGTGAGCCAGGGTCCGCGGCAGCCCCGGGCCCTGTGCCTCGCCCCTCCCGACCCTGGCCCTGCGGCGGGGGCGGGGGCGGGGGGCGCTTCCCACCCCCTCCCTCTGAGCCCAGGCGAGGCGGCAGTGGCGGGACCCTGTGGGTCCCCCGCGTGCCACAGGGACCTTTAGAAAAACCTGGCGTAGGTCACGGCCCCAGGAGGCCAGGCTCACCGAGGGGGTTCTGGCCCCCTCGGACCCTCTTTCCCTGCACGTCCCCAGCTCTGCAGTGGCCAGGAGCAGCACCATCGGGACCCAGGGGCCTGGGGGCCTCAAGTCCACACCCTGGGCCAGGTCAGAGCAGGGCCCAGGGCTCACGGACCTCTGCACCAAGACCTCAAAGGCCTTATCAGGCCCCCGGGGCATCGGTCCTGGCTTCCAGATCCTGTGCACAGCCCCCTGGGGAGGACCACAGCTTCAGTCCCTGGGGCCGCAGGGACAACCTCTGGCCGCCACGACCCGCTCACCTTCCCGCAGCTGCGGCAGTGGTGTTTCCGGCGGATGACGGTGAAGGGCGCTTTGCATGCGGTGCAGAAGCCGCAGGCCTCGTCTGGGACCCACTCCGGTGGATCTGTGACAGTGGGAATGGGGTCAGCCAGAGGGAGCCGTGCAGCCGTGACGGTGGGAGCCAGCGGGCTGGGGTTCGAGGGCGCCTCTGGCTGGACGGGACCCAGCAGCCCCCGCCCTCCTCTTCGGCCCTCCCCTGGACCCCCATTACTGGCTATGGTCTCAGGAAATCGTCACCCGAACAGTGGCTCCGCAGCTCTTGTCCGAGCCTGCCCGCCAGCCCCCAGCTTCAGCCTACACCTTGCAGCCAGCCAGGCCACTGGGATTCAGGACATGGGCAGGGAGTGTCCACCCGGATGACCCTCTCCCGAGCCTCTCTCTGTCAGCACCCAGCCTGGCAGGCCCCTGGGGCAGAGGTGGTGGTCGAGAAATGAAGAAATTGACCCCTAGCTCAGCTCTAGGTGTGCTCTGTGGGGGCCTCAGGCGCCCCCAGCCTTGCCCACCCCCGGCTCCAGAGCAGTTCTCAGGCTCTTGGGGTCCTGGAGGCCCAGGGAGACCCCCAGCCGGCCCCTCCCTGACATGTGTGCAGGCCAGGCTGGGGCCAGGGGCCAGCTCCTCCTTCCACGCCTCATGTGGGGCCTGTCCGACTCACTCCTCGAGGCCCTGGCTGATGGGAGACTCTGTGGAGGTTTGCTCTGGAATTCGAGAGACACATCAGCACAGGGAGAAGCGGGCTCCCACACGCAGCAAGACAGGTGCTTTCCTCCCATTTCGGGCACCAAGCTGACTAGGGCGGGCCAGGCCCCGAGGCCAGCACCAAGGGCCAGGGGGAAAGAACACATCGGACCCCTCCCTCAGACCACAGAGAGTACTCAGAGGTGGTCTGTGTAGCCTCACAAGACCCCCAGGCTTGATGCTCAAGTGGGCACTGGCCTGCATCCCTACACCCCATCCTCAGGGCCTCCAAACAGAACTCAGAAGGGCCTGGGGTCTTCTGGCCTCCCTCCCACCCTGGAGGCTCTGCCCCTCCTCCTGCCTGCTTGCACAGACCCGAAACTGCCTCCCACTCAACTCTCCTGCCTTCCATCCTGGGCCTGGTCAGCTCACCCCCACCCTGCAGGGAGGTCATTTCTCATGCTTGCCACCCCCTATGTAGAATCTCAGGCTGGCCCCAGGGAAATCCTGGATGGCAATGTTAGCCCCTAAGGACCGTGTTGGGCCAGGACCTCCAGCTCAGGCAGATAAGGCCAGAAGCACTCCTGGCAGGGGCGAGAGGGTGGGGGAATGTGAGGGTCCCGAGGACTTCCTGGGCCTGCCAAGGGGAGCCACTTCTAGGAGGGGGCTGGGTCGGCAGCCCCCAGGGAGGATGTGGCCCTCGCCTGTGCCCTGGGCAATGCCAGACCTCGCAGCTCATTACAGTCACTCATGAACAGAGAGGTTCCAAGTTCCTGTAACAGGTACTTTGTACCATCATGCATCGTTTTCTAGAAAGGTAGAGATGAGCTTGTGCTGCTCCTTACACCCCATCCCTGCAACCTCTGTCACCCCCAGGGGACTGGCGAGCACGAGGAAGGCCCCGAGCCTGGGACCAGCAGGGTTAGCCAGTGGGCCAGGCACACCAGGAGTGCTGTGACCTCTGGCCTATCGTGGGGTCAACTTCAGCCTCCTTCTTGGCCCCATCCCCGTTTGACGCCTGGTCAGGCCTATGCACCACCATCGATCGCGGCACCTCTCCCAGGCCTCCAGCCCCTTAGAAACTCTTGGGTGGCCCCCTCCCCATAGCTGTGCTGCCCGAGCTCCCAACCTGCTCTGGACGCTCCCTCCCTGATCACTAAGCCACCGGTCCCCCAGCAGGCCTGGCTTCCTAAACGGGGAGCAGGGTGTTGGGGCTTCCACATGACCTGTGAAGAAGTCACTGGAAGCTGCCATGTGAGGCCTTCCTGTGGGGCAGGTGGGTACAGGTGGGCTCAGGTGTATGCCTCTGCCCTGGGTCCAGCCACCTCCGGCCGCAGCCAAAGGCCTTGGCTAAGGGGGTCCGTGTGCCACCAAGGGGGTAGCCGCCTCCCCATGGGCAGCTACAGGCCCAGGGGCCCTCTGGGGAGGGACCCCCAGTTGGAGAAACAGTGCCTTCATGGATTCTGCATTCAGGACAGAGAGGGGGACAGTCCAGACAAGCTCCTCACTCCCTGCCCTGCATGCAGCACCTCGGGCCCTGGCCCACACCCCGCACGCACCTTCCAAGTCCCCATCTCGGGTCTTGGCTGCCAGTTCAGAGGATGATAGGGTCTCCTGGCAGAGGGCACAGTCCTCCAAGGCTGCACTCCGCAGGCTTTGGGTGACTAGAAGAGAGAGGGAGGGAGAGAGGAAGGGGTGGGGTTGATGCCCAAGCACCTGTCCCTGCTAGGCCCACCCACATGTGGCCAGCAGGGGGGCAGCTCCCCCAAAGCCAGCCACAGTCCCCCTGCAACGGGTGAGTCAGCACCGCCCCAGCAGGCTGGGCTCGGTGCCCTGAGGTCTGCAGCTTCTCCCCCCTGCGGCCCCCAGCCCCAGAGCCGCTGCACTGTGTGTGGAAGGTCCCCCTGGGCTGTGACCCACGAGGCAATAGGGGGACCAGGCCTGGACACAGGCTGAGGAGCCCACTATCCTTGCTTGCAGAACTGGTCCATGTCACCCACCTTTTCTGAATTGTGATGTTTCAGAAGGCCGCGCCACCCCGAATTCCCCAGCAGCCCAGTGGTATGGCCACCAGGAGGCAGAGCTGGGGCGACACACAGGACTGACTCTGCTCCTCCTCCCCCCAAGCCAGGATGTGCCCTGCTGGACGGGGGCGGGCTCTACAGCCGGGCAGGTGGCTCTGTGTGCCCAGATGCCCCATGAGGATGGGCAGCTCGCCCAGAACAGGCATCTCAGCCCAGCACAAGGGGAGGGCGAGCAGGCGTCAGGCCCCCTCCCCACCCCGTGCATGTCGGAGTATGCAAGAGTGTGTGTGTGTGAGAGTGTGCATGTGTGCATGTGAGAGTGTGTGTGTGCGTGTGAGAGTGCGTGTGGGTGTGTGAGTGTGTGACAGTGTGTGTGTGTGCGGGCACATGGGTGCGTGTGAGAGTGTGCGTGGGTGGGTGGGTGTGCATGACAGTGTGTGTACGCACGTGTGCGCGTGAGAGTGTGTGTGTGGGTGTGTGTGAGAGAGTGTGTGCATGTGTGCATGTGAGAGTGTGTGTGCGTGAGAGTGCGTGTGTGGGTGTGTGAGTGTGTGCATGTGTGAGAGTGTGCGTGGGTGGGTGTGTGAGACAGTTGTGCATGTGTGCGTGTGAGAGTGCGTGTGTGGGTGGGTGTGTGAGAGTGTGTTTGTGCATGTGAGAGTGTGTGTGTGAGTGTGGGTGGGTGTGTGAGAGTGTGCATGTGTGGGTGGGTGTGTGACAGTCTGTGCATGTGTGCGGGCACATGGGTGAGTGTGAGAGTGTGCGTGGGTGGGTGGGTGTGTGAGAGTGTGTGTGCGCATGTGTGCATGCGCATGAGAGTATGTGTGGGGGTGGGTGCGTGAGTGTGTGTGTGCATGAGAGTGTGTGTGTGGGTGTGTGAGTGTGTGCATTTGTGCATGTGAGAGTGTGTTCGTGCACGTGAGAGTGCATGTGTGGGTGTGTGAGTGTGTGCATGTGTGCGTGTGAGAGTGTGTGTGGGCGTGTGAGAGTGCGTGACAGTGTGCCTATGTGTGGGCGCATGGGTGCATGTGAGAGTGTGTGCGTGGATGGGTGGGTGTGCGTGACATTGTGTGCACGTGTGTGTGTGAGAGTGCGTGTGTGGGTGGGTGTGTGAGAGTGTGCATGTGTGCGTGTGAGAGTGTATGTATGTGCGCGTGAGAGTGCATGTGTGGGTGTGTGTGTGAGAGAGAGTGTGCATGTGTGGGTGGGTGTGTGAGTGTGTGACAGTGTGTGCATGTGTGTGGGCGCATGGGTGTGTGTGAGAGTGTGCGTGGGTGGGTGGGTGTGTGTGACTCTGTGTGCGCACGTGTGCATGTGAGTGCGTGGGTGGGTGTGTGAGAGAGTGTGTGTGCGTGTGAGTGTGCGTGCGCGTGAGAGTGCATGTGTGGGTGTGTGTGAGTGTGTGCACGTGTGCGTGTGAGTGTGTGCATGTGGGTGTGAGTGTGTGACAGTGTGTGCATGTGTGCGGGCGCATGGGTGAGTGTGAGAGTGTGCGTGTGCGTGAGAGTGCATGTGTGTGTGTGAGAGTGCCTGTGTGGGTGGGTGTGTGAGACTGTGCATATGTGGGTGGGTGTGTGACAGTCTGTGCATGTGTGCGGGCGCACGGGTGAGTGTGAGAGTGTGGGTGGGTGTGTGAGTGTGTGCGCATGTGTGCATGTGAGTGTGTGCATGCGTGTGAGAGTGTGTGGGGGGGTGGGTGCGTGTGTGTGTGCGTGAGAGTGTGTGCACTTGTGCGTGTGACTGTGTTCGTGTGCGTGAGAGTGCATGTGTGAGTGTGTGCATGTGTGCGCATGAGAGTGTGTGTGGGCTTGTGAGAGTGCGTGACAGTGTGCCTATGTGTGGGCGCATGGGTGCATGTGAGAGTGTGTGCGTGGATGGGTGGGTGTGTGTGACATTGTGTGTGCACGTGTGCGCGTGAGAGTGCGTGTGTGGGTGGGCGTGTGAGAGTGTATGTGTGTGCGCACGTGTGCATGTGAGTGTGCGTGGGTGTGTGTGTGAGAGTGTGTGTGCGTGTGAGTGTGCGTGTGCATGAGAGTGCATGTGTGGGTGTGTGTGTGCATGTGTGTG